TTTGCATTCTACTGCTGATCTCCCAAGTGGAGCACATTGCAACACATCAAAAGCACTCTAGTCTTGCTCCCTATATATTCTTGACATGCTGGACTGCCTCCAGGTACTTAACACTCTTCTTAAGCTGGCAGGCCTGAAACTGGACTCAGTATTCCCAGTATGTTGGTAGTGCTGAGGTCAGGAAATCAGCACAACTGATCTTCTATTGTCACACTCCTGGTTGCAAAGACAATTTCTACAGCGATGCTCAGAGAATAGCAACTTGAGGGCACAGATACACCCAAGCAGGAAGAGCAGATGCTGACAGCAGGCTGGAAAGGATGGGGATAGGAGCTGCAGAGCAGTGACAGGAATCAGCTATTAAACAACACAGACAGAGCTGAGGCACTGAAAGCCTTCTGATTCTCTGACAAAAGAAGGTGTATCCATAGCCCAAAAGCTTGGAAGATGAGCCAGGGCATGGTGCAAGGGGAGCAGACACTGGGTATACAGTGCTCTCTGTACAGAATCTCCAACAAGGCACTCACAGTTTGCCTACCCAGACCATCCTCAGCTTTGGTGACAATTCTACCTCCTTCCAGCCAAGAAATTCCAGAAAAAAAACACTTTGAATTGGTGTTTCCAGACACTTGTCAGCAACAAAACTAGCTGAAGGAGCCCCTGCCTCCTCTCCTCTCACATTTGGCTGCACGTTGCTCTTGCAGAACCATTCCCCAAAGTTGTGCTGGCACGGTCATCTACAAGGCAGGGCAGTGACTTGGATTAAAAAATAGCTGCAGAAATAAATGACTGCACAGTGCAGGGAGACGAACTTACTCACTGGCACGGGGGAAGGAAGATGGAAAAAGTCTAAATCAGTGTTGCTGCCAAGTAAAGTGTCAGTCAGATCAGTGCTCCTCTATGCCAGAGCTCCTCGTCTGTACTCCAAATTAATTTTGTTTACAGCAATTAGATGAGTGAAGGCAAGAACCAGCACACTAGCATTTAACATGTATGGAGGGTACATACTGTATTTTCCCATGTTTTTAGACCCAGCAACTGGAGAGAAAACAAAAATTCTCAGCACCGGTGACTCATGCTGAGGACAGAAGGATGTGCACAGAGCATCGTTGTCTTTGACCTGCTTTCATTTAGCACTCACAGTCTTTTATCAAAAACCTTCATGTGAGATGTGACTGAGAAAGCACAGGGTTAACTTGCTTCAACAAGTGGAAGTCTTCATTTTCTTCTCAGATGTCTCTGTCTCCAAATATGAACAGAAAATCCATTTGCATCAACATTAGCTCTGTACATCATTAGCCCTCTGCAATCCATTTGCATCAACAAATCTCAAAAAACTCTCCCCTATGACGCTGTCTCCTAATAATTTTAAAATAATTAAAAACATCTATTTCCTCACTTGCAATCCCTCCTGCTATTTCCACACATGCAGGCAAAAAATCCCTTCCCCGTGCCACAAAGATGGGCACAGATGCCAGAGTCAAACTTTCACTATGTATTCTCTTTAGCAGCTCTCATTTCGTATGAGCAGGTGGTGAGAAGGAAGTGGAGCAAGAAGGAAGAACACTATTTTGGGTAAGGAAGCAATAACTGTGCTACTACTCTATTAAATAGTATGAATGGTGGAAATCTGAATCATGCTTTTACTGTATGAATGGTTAATTTCAATATGCTATTATAAACAGTGATCCTCTCCCTCTGCATCTCAAGACTGCAATCTCCCTAACAAAAACCATACACCTGTTGAAAAAGAGCAGGATCTGAATCAGACGTGGTGGCAAGCACGACGGATGCATTCACTTGAGTTTTGTGTTAACCCTTCCTCCAACACTCAGGTTCTGGTCTCTAGGGCCCATAACACACTTCATAAAAAAAAAAGAGCCCACTGAAAGCAATGCTTGAAAGAAAAAGGAAAGAGGCTGTCAAGCTGGAGTCTGGGATAAATTACAGCTCCATTTTTAGCTTCCCTGAATGGAAGCACTTCTGACAGTAAGAGCTGCCAAGACAAAACCCTAGCAAGAAAATGAGATAGTTAAGAGTGTGCCTATTCACCCTCAGATAGGTATTACTGCAATGATAGAGATTACTTACCAAGGAAATTTCATAGCATATATTTAAAAGGGCTGGATTGTACAGCTGTGCGTACAATGTCCCTTCCAGACAAGAATTAAGAGTTTCAACACTGGAAACAATCCCTTTGCTTCCTATGAGCAGAGGGCAAGCTCTTATGCTAATAGGCAGTGAGCATCCTCCAGAGCTGCATTTTTTAGAATGATCTTGCAAGTTTTTGCTGTTGAAACAAGTCACTTTCTATCTCATATGTAATCTGTGTGTCCGTCCCTCTGGCTCTCGTGCAGGGGTGACTACAGTGGTTTCTGCCTGTACAGAAGGGATGGCTCAGCTGCTCCTCCAGCAGCTGCTGAACCATCACAAATTACAGCTTACTGCATTGAAGTATGTAGAAATTGGTGCCTATCTTAGTATGCAGGACTGCAAACCATGATGGGTCAGCAGCTGCCACACAAACAGCTGAGCCAACCCTGCAGCAAGGGTAGCAATGAAAGAGATGGCAAGAATGACTCCAGTAGCCCTTGGGTAAGGCACACTTGACTTAGTGTTGACCTCTGGTGAGTTACACATCTCTTGCTTCAACCTCTCTGCTGTAACGTGGGTAGTTCCTCTCCCACACACTTCCTAAGAATGGTGCTGCAAGGATGTGTGCACATGGTATAAAAGAATGCTGTTAATTAATTAAGCACTGCCACACCCTGTTCCAACTGCTCCATTAAAAAAAATTGATTGATCTGATAATGATACTCTTCATGTTTTATAAAGGTGCTACAGATAAAGAAAATAAAATACGTCACCTAATTTTTTTTTTTTTTTTTTTAATGGCAAGAGGTACAGGAACCTTACAGGGAGAAAAAAAAAACAACCAAGTGTCATTGCTATGTGTTAACCTCTGCATTAGTGCCAGCCCCTAGAATCTCATCTGCTGGTAGTAGTTCCTGATATCACTATAAGATGCACAACCTGCTCTTGCCGTGTCATGCACATGCCTTCCTAGGACACGCAAGATACTCTTATCAGCTCTGCTTAGCATTTTCTCTGCTAGGTATTTTATCAGCCTCTGCTGTGCTTTCAGGTTTTGGTGTACATTTCAAAGCTATTTTAAGCCTGTTGTCATCCGTACTGCTGGTGATACATCCTGGCTGCCACTATCTCCTTCTTACTCTATAAAGATGTCCAGTGGTTTCCCGCACTGGTCTGCCCTCTGCCTTCACATCTTGATACAAAACTACCCCAGTGCCCTCCCTGCCAGCCCACATTCTTTATTAGCAAGGTGTAATCATGGTATGAGGCACCTGTAACCAGGATGTGAAGACAAAGGAACCTCAGTTAGGGTGCTGCTATCAAATTATGCGTGGCCATCCCTCCCACTTACTCCTATCCTTTCTCACAGGCAGGACATCACTGCATTTTTCTCAGCTCATGACTTTCTTCCTCCCCACCCACTGCATGTCCCCTTCCTTTAGTTACATGCTTTGTTGATGTTTCCATTTGCCTATGTTCTCATATGGAAAAGATGATGTGGATATGGGTTTCCCTTGTGCTTTTAATAGATTCCTGCCAGGCATTCACTGAATAGCACACTACAAGATGCGGCACGCATCTAAAGTAGTCACAAAATACACTGTAATGCACGTCCCCAAACAGCACAGCCACCTAATCCCTACAGCATCTGAAGAAAAATGAAGGCTGAGAGGTTACGTGCTAAAATGTTACACTTGAATCTTAACCTATTCAGATGCTCAGTGAAGCCTATAAATTCTTCTCCGTATTTTTTGCACACGGTACAGAAAAAGTAAGCACTGGAATCCCCTGGATTTTAGAGTTATGTCTAACTTGCAAAGCTGTAAACAATGCTTGTTGCCTAGCACAGCTGTGCTAGATGTGATTCCCCTGCCATCCCACCAGCCACACACCTGGAGCAGGTACTTTGCCTGGAGCACAATGTAAATGTGCTTAATGCTGCTTTTACTTCCAAACAAGAATGAATATTTGTTCATACAACAAAACAAGATGATCATTTTGCACTGCATTTGAAATGCCACAAACAAATCCAATAGGACCTATGTTTACCTCTCTCATTCCCAAGTATTTTGCAATTTCCCTCCCTAAATCACTGACCTGCCTCTTTCTTCTCAGACTCCTAAACCGTGAGTCAAACAAAACAAAACAAAAAACACCCCTATCTTCCTCCCCCAGATAAGGAAGGGTTAGGTAGTGCAACAAGCAAGTTTGAACAAATAAGTGCTACACTTGCAATCTGTTAATTAACTATCCAGAAGAGTGGGATTCTCTATGCTTAGCTTCACAGTAGTTTCTCTTCTAATGACTTGAGTGTTATATACTTAGAAAATAAAATTCTTTGGCATAAAACACACATGAGCCTATGAAATGAAAAATACCTTACCCGCTCTTCACCTCTGATAACAATGTAATCACAGCTGGTGTACTGTTTAAAGGCGTACAAATAGTTTTTGTTACAGCTCCGCCTCTCTAAGGATTGATATTTCAGAGATGAACTAAAGAAGGATCGCTCCTAGCTCCTATCAGTAGCTCACAGCTTATGCCTAGGCAATTTTTTGCATGAATGGGGAACGAAAATAAGAATTCCTCTGCGTGTGGTAGCTGCTGCCTCCCCTAACTCAGTGCCTTGGCAAGGGCTGCAACGATGCTTTATGCAGCCAGATACGGTCTGGAATAAGGAAGGGAGAAAAACCCTGGACTGGACTTGGGAAGCTTGGCAGCCCAGCTTCTCCAGCACCCCACACAGCCTCAGTGACATTACCCCTGCTGTGCAAATCCCTTTGCAGGCAGGCAGGCACAGACAGTGCCTGGCTGCAAGGTGCTGACCTCTGCGGGCTGCTGCACGGAGATGCTGCCTGGGAAGCACGTGGCTAGAAATTAAAGCCCATCCGCTGCGGTTCACTTACCCAGCTTGGAGGCCCCATCTGGTGGGTACTCAGGGAATTGGCCCTCGGAGGGCACGCTCACCGTGCGGCGCAGGCAGCGGCCTTTGGTGGCATCCTGAGGTTCCTGCAACCCCTCGGTGGGCACCTGAGGGAAAAAACAGACAGCTGTTAGCCTGCAACCCCGCTGAGAGCATCATTTTCCAAGCAGAGTATTAGTAGCAAATAAAAACGAGCCTTCATCTGGAATCGCAAAACAGTTTGGGTTGGAAGGGACCTTGAAGCTCACCTAGCTCCAGCTGCCTGCTGCAGGCAGGGCTGCCACCCACATCATATTTGTACTGAAGGCTGTAAAAGATGCATGAGACGCTGCACTATTTTAGAAACTACACTGCCTCTCACAAACTGGTTCTGGCATTTCCTGACTTTCATGCACTTAGCATTAAAAATGACCTTAAGAGAATGCTGTTTGTCACTATTGCCAGTCTATTTGTCTCCTTCAAACAGTGCTCATTTTTAAAAACACGTTTCCCAAATCCCCAGCGGTTAACTCTGCCATGGCCACTCTCTTTGTTGATACATATTTACAGCAGCTCCTTTGCTAAACGATCTGAGCTCAAACAGAGTAGTTTTGTTAAGTTTATGCTACACTCATTCAATGAGGGTCACAGGTTAGATTTTCAGGTTGCATCTAGAGACACCACTTGGTGCCTCTCCCTTTGGCACACTCTCTGTTCTTCAGAGCATGTTTTTGGAGGGATGCAGCACACCCTAGAAGCACTGAGGTGCTGCACCTTGCTCAGGGAACTTGTTGAACCTACGCTATGCCCACACTTACACAGCTCCTGTGGGGTAGACTTCTCCACCATCCAACTTTTAACAGAGAAATTCATGCAGTCCCTTTTCTTTTAAGTGCCCTCCTTCAGTACCTTTGCTCTCTTTCTGGCACAGGATGACAGAAACATTCCTTTAATCCAGTGAGGTGAAGGGCTGGCTTGAAGCACCCTGCTAGCAATGTGTAAGAAGAGTGACAGTAGCCGGTAGGATAGCCTGGGGCAGGGAACAGCTTGCTGCCAGTGTCAAGGAGGAGGTTGGTGGCTCAGCCCATGCTGTTTTTTGCGTCCTTGGGAAAAGCAAACAGGCCACAGTGCACTGCAGCCGGTGCCAGAAGCAAACCAACCACTGCATACCAGAGATAGGATTTATCTTCAGAAAGGACCTGAGCCATTAGCAGGAAGAGTGTCTGAGGGTTGAGGTCCTGCCTCTAAGCCACAGCACCTTCTTGTACTCACCAGCCGCCTGGAACAGGAAAACCTGGCTGCGTTTCACACCAAAGGAGGGGCATTGGTGCAGTAACACCCATCTGGTGCAGAACAGTCCTCACCAGGAAAAGACTGCTAGTGTTAAAGTGCCTTGAGAAACACCTGATACTATTATTTCACTAGGGAATTCTGCAAGCTGCGTCAGGAGCAATACTGCACCAGGACTGAGGAGAACCACTATGCATTACAAAGTCAGGGCTCGAGCAGCACTTCAGGCTGCCAGCAGGTTTTTGTGCAGCTTTGCTGCCTGCTCTTTGACCTGCTGAGCCTTCAGCAACACCGAATGACCCAGCCCTGCTCTGGCTTGCTGACAATCCTGACAACCCTGACCATGTTTCAGCGGTGATTTCCAAAATGTAACAAGGGCAGGTTCACAGCTCAGGCTTTCATCTCTCAAATAGCATCACAGCTCACCTGCTGCTGAACACGCTTCTTAAGTATAAACCTTGTTCCTGGGATTTCTAGTCTGATGATGGAGAGATTTCAGATGAAACAGAGGAACAGCATCACAAGCGTTTAATACCACTTAAAGTAAGCTGGGAGCTTTAAAAAAAGAACAGAAGTAGACAGAAAAGAGCTTCTCCATTGCAGACAGATTTTTTTTCAGACTTGGAAAGACCAAAAAACTTGAAAATTCACAGCCTCTTCTGAATTAATAATGAGGAAGTTTGGAATCACATCGACAGTTACTTAATGATAAAGCTCTTTGCTTTAGTTTTTGCCTTCCATGAGAAAGTTAGAAGCTGGCTAAAATCCCAACTTAAGAATCCACTTTAAAAATGTTGATAAGCATTTCTTGGGGACCTTGGGAGACAAGTAATTAAACTCATTTGGTAATTGAAACAAATCTTATGCCTGAGTTGAGCTTCGACAAACTCATATTTATGGGCATATCGGATTTGCAGTACTAAAAAGGTGAGGCCTGGGGTGTGGGGGAGAAAAGGGAAGAGCCTATCACAGTGATAAGAGATTTGCATTTGCAGCTGAATGCAAAACTGAAGGATTCTGCAGGACAGCAGCCAAGTTACAGACTGTGACTAACCCAAAAGCAGCCCAAACCCAGATGTACTCATTTGTCACATCCCTCACGAAAGTGCTGTGCAATGGGTTATCTATCAGAAACTGCTGATCAGAGATACTGACTCATTCCCTTTTCCTGTTTCAATGCCTCTGTTTTTGCAGGCATTCTGTATGGTGCCTTCTTTAGAAGTGGGTGCTCACAGCTCTTGCCTATGGAACAGGTTTCACCAACACTGAAAACATCCACACTCCTGACAGTGGGAAATCGTCCTCCTCATATAAAAAAGAAACACTGATTTGTGAGAATCAGCCTAGACCTGTTCTCCTAGTCTTGGTAGATGCTGCTAGGTGTTGCCACACCACAAGATGTTCTAGTAATTGCACGTCTGTCACTCAAGCCTCCTTATTTGCTAAGTCGTCCCTCACGCCCCTACAGGTGCTCATTTTCTTTCTACTTTTTAGGTCTCAGTCTCTTCCCTTCATTAATAATCTTCATTCTGCAATCTCACCTATTTCATTTTATGAAGTTGATGAACTGACAAGTAATTAATATTTACCTATGCTGCACACAGTGATACTCTCAGCCTATTTTTGTCTAAGCAATTACAGATATTTTTGGACCAAGTTGGACCAAATTTCTCTGTTTCCCAACCTACTGTTGCGCTTGCACAGTGCCAGTCTGTCTGCACACACTGTCCAAACAGCCTTGTCAATAAATCTATGTGGGAGTGGGCAGAGAGGGTGCTACAAGAAAAAAGGTTTCTTACTCCCTGGTTTACTTTCTGTTCTCTCAGCCTTAAAATAAAAGGCTGCACAATGCATGATGCTGCATTTTAACTGAAAGGAAACCATTTTAGCAGTTATCCGAAGCAATTAAGACATCCTTTCTTTACTTCTTCACATGCTGTACATGTTTTCCTACCTTTTGGCTTTCCATACATGCTTGTATAATGATTCTACTAAGTACCATAAACATCAAACATTCCTGTTCACTTTCAATTCCACATGAGCTGAGCTTCTTAGATTCCTGTTCTGTGAAAGAACAAAGCAGATGCACAGAAAATACGAGGAGATGCCTCAGATGCCCCACACCATGTTCACATTATGCTGGCTTTGAGATGACACAAGTGCTCTGTGCAGCTGGGAGGGCACTGCTGTTAGCATCTCTTCCTTCTTCCCTCCCATCCATCCCCTTACTGATGTGTATCATTCTGTTCCTCACACTGTTTCTAAGATCCTCATCAACAGTCCAAAGAAAATCTGACCGACCTGCTCTATCAGCAGTTTTCACATTCAGAGCAGGAACCTCTCCATCTTCCTCTTGCCTCACTTTAGGTTAACAAAAACCATTCTCCAGGATCACCCTTCCAACAATTTCACTCTAAATATCATTTTACTCTAAGAATCTGTTTTCTGCATTTTGTGCTTCCCCTCACCCCCCCCCCCCCCCCCCTTTCCTCACACCTTTAACCCCTTCCCTTGCTTAGGAAGGTGGTATCTGGGATTCCACCCAGGGGCTCTTTCCCATTCTCCTGCACACTTCATCATTCAGTTCTTCCCAACCTCACAGCTCTCTGTCCTCTCCTGCCTAGAGACCCCATGCCACAGGGCCTTTTCCCTCCCACTGACTCACCACGTATAAGGCACTACGCTGCTGCCCTTCTCCAGGAAAGCCATAAGGGATGCCTCTGCTTGGGAGACATTAAAGCTGCAAATGCAGAGCATCAGTTCCATGCCTCAACCAGCATTTCTACCAGTGTAGCTGTTATATTTCTTTAAGGGCTTACATGTACACTGCTGTATGTACAGATTTCTAGATTAAAACAACCTTTTATTTTCCCACAAGCACTTGTGCCTGCTAGAAGTTCCCTTTTTCCCTTCACTTAGAACAGTCCCAAATTACTTTGAAATCAGAACGGCTAATCTGTCTCCAACTTCTGAAACAAATCATATTATCAGCATGTGGAGTCACACCTGCACCAAAGGCATGTCTGCCTGGCTCATCTGCACACAGCATTCTCCAAAACAAGTTATTTCTCATTGTGATATTGCTGGCAGACTCCTTTGAGAGCACGTTACAAAGGTTTCCTTTACTATACTTAAAACCCACGCTGCATATGCCCCAACGTGGCATTTCTCCAGCTTCTAGGAGAAAACAGGCAAAAACAAAGTGCATTTAAATACCACATGTAATGACTTCACATCAGCGATGCTTCAGAGTTCCCATATTTACTCCTCAGGATCTAAGCAAGAGGCTCATCTGACTCCTGGCAAAATGTTTCAACTGTAAGTGGTAAGGAAAATTAACAACCCTTAAGAGCATGGTTACCACCTTCAGATAATTATTGCTGATATGAGCCAGTGTTTTTTTTTTCAATTATGCTCCTTAATGCATCTCTTAATGAGATGCATCCTTTTAGCCCAGCTGTGCTGGTATAGCACAGCTTTAGGAATATTTCTCGTGTCCTTAAGTTTCTTCAGGAGATACCTTAATTCCTTAGGTGACATTCCTGTCAGACTAGAAAAAGAATTATGTAGTAAACAAATATTATGATATGGGTCTTCAATTTTCCCTGCGTTTGATTACCTCTCCTACAAATTAGCATTGGTGCTGTTCCATTCTAATAACACAAGTCGTCCTCTAAACCTTTTCCTCCCACTCTCCCCATGCAGGGAAATGCTTCAGCCCTCGTAAGCACACCTAATCAAAGCTCAAGATGGATAATGCTTAGTGCTACACCAGGAACGGGTCTCACGCTCTCAGCTTTCAAAGAATCCAGGCCACTTCCAAATGCAGGAAATCACGGTATTAGATTCAAATTCATAGACATTTATATACAATAAAGTCTATTTCAATAATCTGAAATCATTCTTACTTTGTAGCTCGTCCTGAAATATTTAAACAGCAAATCTATAGCAGAGTAATTAAGCAAACAAACCCAGGAACATTATCAACTTCTCAAGCTCCTGTATTTGCGAGAGCCTGTAGACATTAAATACAACAAGAAAAACCATACCGAGATGCATGCTTGAGAAAGGACTTATCACCATTTGTTTGCTCACAATGCTTCAGACAACTAAAATATGCCTATTCTTTAACCATATTGACATGACCTTCATACCAAGGCACAATGCCAAGTCCTACATGCTATATACACATACACACTGTAATCTTATAATTAAAGCAAAGGTTGCAATAGCTTTGAGTATTCCACACCAAGGGCCACTCAATCCTGTTTGCTAGATTTAGCAAGACAGAAGGCAAACCCTTATCTCAAACAATTTACCTTCTGACAGCAGAGCACGAAGGCTGCATACTTCTTCTGCTCTGCACTCCAAAACATAGGCACCAACAGCACACTTTTACAAGCTTACGTCTGCATTGATGTGAAGTTTAGGTAGCCATGGTGGCTCCAGCTACCATTAAAAGCAGAGCTAGCACAGAGAAATGCAGTGGCAGGCTGAAATGCTGGGCCTAAAATTCAAGCAGGGAGCAGTGGATGCACAGTGGATGCATTTTGTTCTGTGCAACACCTGGGCTAGCTGCTTTGTATCTCTGCGTGCCATGCCAGCTATATGCACAGAACTGGTTAGCTCTCCCATTCACACACTCAAGTCGACTTGCGAGCAACTAAAGAAAAGAAGAAAAAAAAAGAGAGGTGAAGAAAGCTGCCTTCCTGTGTTACCACAGAAGGCCGACGTGTGTTCTCTCACCTCCTTCTCCCTGTTGAGCAGCACCAGCTGGCTGTCAGTCAGGATGCAGTACTTCCTCTCCCATGTCGTTGTTTCGGTGTAGGGGGACTGGCCGCAGGACAGCCTGTGTGTAGGTGGTCCTTTTACATCTGTGAACACAGAATGGGGATCCTAGCATCATTAGCCTGTTTCATTAGCCGCCCTCCTTCAGCTCTGTAACTCTGCAGCAGAGCAGTGAGCTGTACTTAGCATCAGCACGTTAAAAGACAAACTGCTCATCTTGGGAGGCACCGTGGAAGGCAGTATGAGGCACACCATGAATACTTATACATATCTACAGCACAGCTTATGAAAATAGCAATACCTGAGAAGAATATGAATGCTCTCGCATTCCAACCAAAAGCAAAGAGTGACAGTCTGCACACAAACTCTGCTTCCTTTTGAGAAACGTAGACCCTGGATGTCCTCTGCATCTTAATAAACCTATATGAGACTGAGGGCAGAGAGACACGGGAAGGGAGAAGGAGAGCAAGGCAGGAGGCACGAAGAAAGGAGGGAAATCTCAGGGGGATGATATTGAATTGGGAAGGGCTTCCTGGCATCCTTTCAGCAGGGAAGCTGTCAGATTAAATCGTGACAGACAGCAGTCTCCCAGCATTTCCATCCAGCCACAACCACTGTGGTGACAAAAAACTGAAAAGTCAATTTGCCTCAAGACTCAGCCTTGAGCTCCACACCTCGTTGAGCCTCTCACTATGGGAATTTTCCTCCAGGACCAGAAGTGAGAATGCAGACAGAAGCATGGCAGCTGTGCAGGTGGCACTGCCAAGCAGGTGAGCCCTGAGCCAGAGCTGCTAGGCAGCTGGGCAAACTGACTACAACCTGGGCAGCTCTCTGACCCAGCTCTGCAGCTTGCTGAGCTACTGCCAGGGGGATAACGCTGCAGAAAGCAGCGCTGCCCCATCACACTCACAGAATCATAGAATTACTCAGGTTGGAAGGGTCCTTAAGTCCAACTGCAGCCTAACTCTAACTCAGCCTAACCATACTCTAACACTCGCTCTGCAGAAAGCCAGCAGCCCCCACGTTTTAGGAACCCGTAAGGCAAAACGAGTGTTGAAATAAATCCTGCTCAGAGTTCCACAGCGTTCGCACGTGGCTAAGGACAATGCGTGCCATACCTACTGCGTGCATTCACCACTAGAGGCCACTGAATCCTCAGGCACCCGCCGCCTGCAAGGGAACCCACGTTTCAAATCCCACTTCGTTACTAACAGAGCTGCGACATCTCCGTGCTCTCCACCTACTCACAGCAGCTTTGTCTCAGGGACCACTTGGAAAGCTAGAGAATTAAGCTCTCGGTACACAGTTCCCTGCTCACATTGCGTTAGGATTTTGCATTAAGATTTTGTGGTTGCTCAGAGGATTACCTGAAGCGTGCAATCCAATACCTTTAAGCAGGAAAAGGCACAGAACGGGTGACTGAATAACTGAACTGAAATCTCTCTTTGTTTCCTTGCTGTTAGGTAGGACCATTTGGAGAAAGAGGGATGCTCAGAAGGCAGGCCCTGCACCACACCAACCAATTCCTGCTTTCCAGCAGCCACAAGCAGCACTGCACAGGTCCAGCGTACCCAAATATCTGTGTAGGCAAAAGCAGGGCTTGGGGAAGCCACCATGGTCCCTGTGCAGCCTCCCTGTGCTGAAGGAGCCCAAGCGAGGAGCAGCAGCCTGACAGAATGAGGAAAACCTCAGCCAGGAGCGTGCAACAAATCTTGGGATGCAGTCCTTTGGGTAGAGAAGCACAAGATCAGGGAAAAAGGGATGGAGAAGTGTGGTAAGTGAGCAACCTGCTTCGGGGCTGCCTTTCTCATGACACTGCAAAACCCTCCTGAACCACCAGCTCCAGCACACAGCCTACTACACTCACAGCTTACCCAGCCTCAGAAAACTTTTGCTTTATAGCTTCTACTAACTAGAAGCTTTGGCACTGAACCATCCAATCGATCTACGGGCTGCACAGAAGGATTAAAGAACAGAATGGCTCCTTCCAACTGCAGTAACAGCTCCCGGACTTCAATGAGTCATTGGGTGCAGCAGGCCAGCCTCGGCTCCCTGCCAAGCAGGCTGGCCGTGCTGGAGGAGCGTTCTGCAGACTGCTGGCAGCACAGCGTGCCACCTCGGTGTCTGCAGCTGTCAGTCACTGCTGGAGCATGCTGCAGCTTTAATATCTCGTGTGTTAGCGGCCTTCCAAACACATGCCAAAACACAGCCTGGCAGCCCTGCAGGCTGACCGAGGCCGCCTTCCCCAACAGAGAGGTGACTGGTGGTAAATGACTGTCCAAAGCATTAGGTACCTCTGGTCCTCTCCCCTCCCAGATGCTGGAAGCCCATCTTGCAAACCAGGGAGCTGTATGCATAAGGAAGCTGCCTGCAACAACCACAAGCTTCAATGCACTCGTACCTAGCAGCCTCCGTGCCCTATTTCAGTTCTTCTCTACCCGAGCAGCCAACCTCTGCCAACAGCTGTAACTTCAAACCTTACTCTGAAATACAAGTTCAAACTGAAAACTCCTGTGGACTTTGCACAGTATCACATATATGCTTGGTTGCTTCACAAAGCCCATTTTGTTTTCCAGAGTTCTTCATCTTTGGTTTTCACTTTAGATTCTTGGCCCCAACGTGAATGCAATAAAACCTACCAATCTCTGCCACTAATGCCCCATAAAACTGATTTAGCAGCACTGATCTGATCACTAAGGGGAGGTAACAGCAAGAAGTCCACATGTATCTGGTATTGCTTTAGGGAAAGGTTGAAAATCATGGAATTGTTTGAGTTGGAATGGACTCTTAAAGGCCATCTGGTCCCAGTCCCTGCACTAAGCAGGGACACCCACAGCTCCATCAGTGCTCACAGCCCATCCAGCCTGACCTTGGCTGTCTGTGGGGATGGGGCACCACCACCACTCTGGGCAGCCTGTGCCACTGCCTCACCATTTTTATTCCTTCATCAAGGTTGCCATTTCTCACCTTGGGATCATTGTCTTTCATCTCATACAGCACTGTTGGTTCATACAAGCTCAGGTGTTAGAAAGCAACTCACTAATGAATGTACTAAAAGAGATGCAGGAGGAGCAACTGAGAGCTCTGAGTCTGCAGGTGTTTGGGTGGGATGGGCTCATGCAGCCACACACCTGGGCATGCAAGCACTGCTGAGAGATACATTTCTCTGGTCTGATGCAAACCTTCTCCTTCTGCATCAGTACAATGAGGCATTCAGGAAGGCAGAATCAGACTACACACAGGATGAGAGGTCATGCCTTATGTGCCTTCAAATGCTAATATCAATTAAGTAACAGCTTGGAAGAAACCCCGTTCTCTGTCCCTGCTCCCTGCTGAACTGAGCAGCGCCGCTGCCCGCCTGCCACATCCGACACATCTGAAGAGCTGAAACTGTGCCGTTTTTCCTCGGGGCTCTGAAATGCCACGAGGCACGTTATAAATATCCACAAAGCTCCCATTCTCTCAGCCAAACGACAACTTGCACCTTATTATTAACTACAGAGCTTATAAGGAGAGAAAATAGTGGGGGAAGGAACAGCCATACTGCAACCGCATATCGAAAAGAGGTGTCGATTGGTGCTGGGAGAAGGAAGATGGAAAGATGGAGCCAGTGCCAGGCTGATCCTGCAGAGAGGGATAAGGCAATTTATGAAAACTGATGGCAGTTGAGGGAGTAGTACCAGTGCTATCAGATGGGAACGTTACTGAATCTTCCACTGCAACTACGCAACGACAACACTTGCAAGAGCATTCACAAGTGGAGAACAGTTTCCAAAATGCAGGATTCAATGGGCAGGATTGGAGAATTATTTCCGAGCGACGTCAAATGTTTCAGCAGCATTGAGCCCCCAGCAGCTCTGCCACTACCAGAAGGGGGGCATCTTCTCTTCAGGAGAAGCGAGAAAGACAGAATTTGCAAAAATTGGGCCAAGGAATCTACATTAAAAGCAGCAAAATGACATAATTCACATTTTCGGTTTCTTTTGCCAAAAAGCACTCTCCCTGCTATCAATAAACACAGAAAAGCAAACCTCCATCCCAGTGATGACAAGAGCACCCCTGGCATGAGTCAAAGCCCCTTTTCTGAGCCAAGATCTTCCTGTGGTGAAACTGAGGGCTTACTGAAGTACTTGCCAAATGTTCATCGACTTTATTAGGGTCTGTATTCTGCTCCTCGTGTTTCCAGCACGGAGCTGCCAAGCAGCTGAGTAACTAACGGAGTGGCCAAGCTTGAACACACAGAAGATTAGAAGGCGCCCTAACACCTCCTGACAACAGGTCTACCCACCCGGTGTCAGTGTTTCCATGATGATGGTTTATGTACTTGCCATAGAGACCGGACTCAGAGCTGTAGGTAAATGCTGTTGTCTGAGATCGGGACTCAGACCCACACAAATCTGCATGGGCAGGCAGCTCAGGTTGAATAATCATCAGCTGGAATGTTTATCAGGCTGCTGAACAGGAGTTGAAGCTTCAGTTGCTACTGATGTGAAGCTTCCTGACAGACAAGGGGCAATTAAGAGGCTCTAACTGAACCTGCCCTGTCTCTAGAAGGTGATGAAGGTAGTGATTCAGTGGAGAGATATGCCAGGAAGGGAAGTGTGCCCTGCCTCAACATGTCGTGTTCCTTAAACCTACACTTCGTAGGAAGGCAAGATTTCTGCAGGAGTTACCAAGACAAATCAAAATAACAGCAAAGTTATGTGACGTAAAGCTGTGTGTATCTGTGACTATTTCACACTGTCACACAGCATTCAGATGAAGGTCTGCAGGATCTGGATTTAAACATCTAAGCAGAGCAGAGAATTTGAGAATAAGGCCAGGCCCCAGAGCAGCCCTACTCAGTGCAAGGGGACAGGTGAGCACACAGCATGCACTGAGGGCTGCTAGGGAAGGCATGACCAGGCAATTCCACTTTCTCTCATGCAAATAAATACTTACAGCTTTTGTTTACATTTCCTATTTCACTAAGCTCAAATCCCAGCTTGAAGTGATGCTTCCTGGTCGTGCTTGTGACCCAAGGAGACTGCATGCATCTTTCCATCTAATGATGGAGACTGATCTGGAAGAAGAGGCAGGGATGCTC